CGGTGTTCGACGCGCCGACCGATGCGCCGCACGCGGTCGCCTCCGACCCGCGCGAGACCTCAAACTTGTTCCGTTCGCGCGACGAGCCGCAGCAGGAGTCAGCGCAGCGCGACTCCTCGAACCGCGGCTCTTCGCAGCGCGACTCCTCGAACCGCGGCTCTTCGCAGCGCGACTCCTCGAACCGAGGCTCTTCGCAGCGCGACTCCTCGAACCGAGGCCCTTCGCAGTGAGACTCTCCGCAGCGCGGCCAGACGGGCGGGTGCGCAGCGTAGCAGCGCGGCCAGCTTGTCGCAGCGCCCGCGCAAGCGCGGTCGCTGCAGCGCGGCGGCTCGCGCGCACAGCCGCAGCGCGCGGAGAGCGCGCCGCAGGTAGAGTGCGGCGGCGCCCGGCTCGCCGCGTTGTCGACCCATTCCGAGCAGCCCTCGTAAAGGCTGCGGAAGGCGCGCGCGGCGGCCGTCATGGAGCGTTTCCAAGGTGACTCGCCGGGAAACCGAATCAAGCTCTGGCAGTAAGGACAGATGTACACTTCGCTCTGACGCATCGCAAGGAAATTCGAAAATGTAGTTGTGGGCGGCAACACATTTGGACCACATTTACAGAGATTCGCCGCAGCGCGTACCGGCTGCGCAGCAGCTTCCGCCGCCTGGGCGCAACCGCCTGGGCGCAACCGCCTGGGCGCAACCGCGAGCTCGCCGTCGGTCACCGTTTCGGGCGGCGCTGCACGACGCTTTCTCCGCCGCTTGGGATCGAAACCGCGCTGCACTTTCGCCGCGGCAACTACTTTGCGGCGGCTTCGCGCAGCGCGAAACCGCCGACAGCGAGTTCCCGAACGCGCAACCCGCCCGCGGCAACTCGGAAGCGAGGTACGCGTGCGCTGCGAGACAGCGGCGGCGGCGCGCGCGCGCAAAAGATGTAACGCACTAATTTGATAAGCTTCTGTTTTATTCAATTTAGTTTTTTTCATAGTTGATCAGAACTAGTTCGGACGAGCGCTTTGGAAGCTCGCGCATTTGTAGCAATGGTTGGCGACATTCCAAGGAGCAGAGTCATCTCCGAAGCGTGGATAAAGGACGGAATCCTCGAGCACCCGACGGTGGACGGCGTCGTCTACTACAGCCCCCAGTACAGCGATGAAAACTTCGTGTACCGGCACATCAGCGTGCCGCGCGCCATTCTGAAGCGCGCGCGCGAGCTGATGCGCGTCACGGAGCAGCGCGCGTCGCGCACGCACAAGCTAAAGCTCGCGCTGAAGCACGGCGAGTCCGAAAGCTTGCT